ACTACAGGCACCTGCCACAACACCTGGCTATTTTTTGCCTATAGTTGTCATTATTGTATAGCAGGCCCGGGCTGGGCTTGAACCCACCAGCTTTGGTGTATGTGGCTGACGCCCTACTTGGTGAGCTATGGGCACTGAGCCAATGACCTACAGATCTTTATAGGATTCAGATGCTATAAAAGAAATACTGGGTGGTGCCTGTGGCTCAAAGGAGTAGGCCGCTGGCCCCATATACTGGAGGTGGTGGGTTCAAACCCAGTCCCGGCCAAAAACTGCAAAAAAAAAGAAAGGAAAAGAAATGCTTAGGAATACATGACTGTTTAAGCTAATTTTGGCCAGTATTATTTTAATGATAAAAAGCAATCTTGGTCAGAATTCTAGCTCACAGGCTGCTGATCACCAAGCCCTGAACAGAGCCCACCTTGCCCAGCTAGTGAGAAACAGCGAGATGACCACGACCTCCACGACTGGGAGAGGCTACACCTATGTTGGTTTATGTTACCAAGCATGTGGTGATTTGTTACAACAGCAATATGAGTAGCATAATCCATATAATTACAAATTACTTGCCTAAAAAGAAACCAGATTTTTCTTACCTATATCCATTGGCCGCTCAGTATTTAAGCTGTCTGTGCTGCCCTGGTGTCCACCTAAAGGCATCTTCACTTGTTGATCTGATAATTTCCCAGTACTGACAGACCTGAAAAGAATAGTGATGGTAGTAACAGAAAAGTATACTTTAAAACAAAAAAAAAGAAGGGTTAAAAGAAGCCAGAGAACAAGGAAACAAAAAAACAGACACTAAACAATTCAGGGTAGAGATAAACTTCAATAAGAAAAAAAAAAGAAATCATGTAGTCTCGTGTATTGAGGAAGTTCAGGGAGAGCTCTGTATTTACATAGTTAGAGGAAACATTTGTGATTTCCAGACATTCTAAATGTATACAGCACAGATCAGTAACCATATGGCATAAACCAGCTACTGGCTGCTTTGGTGACAGAAATGTATCTATTCACTATTACAGTTTCCACATTTAAGGCTGGAGAGGAAACAGTCTTTTACCTGCCGAACTCTGCCTTGTTCTGCTGTTCAGAGCGTGGCCTCTCACTCCCGAGCCCTGAGAGGCAATGGGCGCACTCCCGTGGGTCACTCCTGTCTCTGGACTGCCCTTCAGTAGGCCCATGACGAGGAACCAAGGCTAACAGGTTGGAAGATGCTTGCGTTTTGGGGATTTTGAAAGGAGCTGTGGTCTAAAGAAACATGTAGAATCAGAGGCTGTATGACCCAGTATCAGGGGTAAACCTGGATTCAAATGCTGGCTTTCTATTTACAGCTGTGTGACTTTGTATTGTTCATTCAAGCTCTCTAAGCCTCGATTTCCCTTTCTGAGGATTAAGTGGGGTCATGCACATCAGGCATTCACCAAGTGCCTACCCTGCACTGGGCATATAGCAAGTGCCCATTAAATCACAGCTAGTCTCAGCACCAAGTCCTTTCCATAACACACTATACCTGCCAAAGGGTTTGATGAACACACCTTAGTAGGAGAGCCAATGATTGTTGGTAACGGAGTTCTAAAGAACCAGTCAGAACCCCGTGGAGAGGATCCCATGTGTTTGGTGGGAGAGGTTCCAAGGCTGCCAGGACGACTAGGCTGAGGTGAGCAGCTGTACCCAGCCCCGGCATGGGATGGGCACACAGGGTCAGAATGCTGTTTTCTGAGCTTCTGCTTGTTCTGATAGATGTCAGTGAGGGTGGGGGCGCTCTGCAGTCTAGCACCCAATAGGAGAGGCTGTGGGGACTGAGCCTGCGGCACTGGAGATCCTGACAAGACAATGAACCACTATTAACCCAAGGTGAAGAAACATGGGGGAAAATTTAAGAATTAAGAAGACAGTTGTCAAAATGAGAATTCTGATAAATGTCTTATCTTTTATAAGACATTCTAAAAGTCCTTTACTTAGCAAGAGACTATTTTACAAAACATTAACTACATTGTTCTTTGTACTCTCAGGAAGATGGAATTTAATGATGATAGATATATTAGCTGTCTTCAGCAGCAGCAGCAGCAGCAGCAGCAGCAGCAAATAACTCAGATTAACATAAGGTCTGATTAGCACCAAAGAGTACAATACGTAATGGTTGAAGTTAATGAAAACAACAAAGCCTTACATTGAACAAGATGATTGTTTTTCTGTGTGTGTATGTGATTCTCTTTATTTTTTATTTCAGAATGTTATGGAAATAAAAATGTTTTGGACACATGAATTGCTTTTGTGCAGTTCAAGTCAAAGTTACACGCACAGCGATCACCTGGACAGTGTCCACTGTACCTGTTAGATGTGAGTTGACCCCTCCGCTCCTGCCCCCTCCCCTCTGCTTGCTTTCTGTGGAGTTTTACAACCAAATGTGCACATGGCTGTTGATCAATTAGTTACAATTTATGAGTATATCTAATGTTCATTTTTCCCATTTTTTTTTTGAGACAGTGTCTCACTCTGTCACCTGGGTAGAGTGCCATGGCATTATAGCTCACAGCAACCTCAAACTCTTGGGCTCAAGCGATCCTCTTGCCTTAGCATCCTGAGTAGCTGGGACTACAGGTGACTGCCACAACGCCCAGCTATTTTTTGTTGTCATTGTTGTTTAGCTGGCCCAGGCCAGGCTTAAACCTGCCACTCTCGGTGTATGTGGCTGTTGCCGTAACCACTGTGCTATGGGCCCCAAGCCAACCCCTACCATTTTTTTTTTAGAGACAGAGTCTCACTTTACTGCCCTTGGTAGAGTGCTGTAGCATCATAGCTCACAGCAACCTCCAACTCCTGGGCTTAGGCGAGTCTCTTGCCTCAGCCTCCTGAGTAGCTGGGACTACAGGTGCTATTTGTTTGTTGCAGTTTGGCTGGGGTGAGGTTTGAACCTGCCACCCTTGGTATATGGGGCCGGCGCCCTACTCACTAAGCCACAGGTGTCGCCCGCTGCCCCTACCATTTTTTTAATGGCTGAGTAGTACTGTGTGGTATACACATACTACGTTTTGCTAATCGACTCGTGTATTTTTTGTTTTTGTTTGTTCATTTTTGAGAGTCTCAAGCTGTCACCATGGGTAGAGTGCTGTGGTGTCATAGCTCACAGCAACCTACAACTCGGGCTTGAGCAATCATCTTGCCACAGCTTTTCTATTTTCAGTAGTGACAGGGTCTCGCTTATGCTCAAGCTCAGGCAATCCACCTGCCTCAGCCTCCCAGAGTGCGAGGATGACAGGCATGAGCCACTGCGCCCAGCCATCCTCTCATGTATTGATGGCACTTGGGTTGATTCCACATCTTTGCTATTGCAAACTGTGCTGCAATAAACATTCAAGCACTACAGCTCAACTCATGTACTAAAGAAAAAAACACACGCACACAAATTTAAGAGCACATGTCTTTCTAACAAAATGACTTTTTTTTGCAGTTTTTGGCCAGGGCCAGGTTTGAACCCACCACCTCTGGAATACAGGGTCAGCACCCTTACTCCTTGAGCCACAGGCACCACCTGACAAAATGACTTTTCTTTCTTTGTGCAAATATTCAGTACTGGGACTGCAGGATCAAATGGCAGGTCTACTTGCAGTTCTGTGAGGTCTCTCCATGCAGCTTTCTATAGAGGTTACTAGTGTGTAATCCCACCAACAGTGTGTGAGAGTTCCTTTCTCTCCTCATAGACACCAGCATCTGTTGTTTGGGACTCTTTTTAAAATAAAAGTCATTATCACTGGAGTTAGGTGATATCTCACTGTGGTTTTGATTTGTATTCACCTGAAGATTAGAGGAGTTGAGCATTTTCACATGTTTATTGGCCCTTATCTATCACCTTTTTTTTTTTTTTAAGAGACAGAGTCTCACTTTGTCGCCCTTGGTAGAGTGCTGTGGTGTCACAGCTCACAGCAACCTCCAACTCCTGGGCTTAGGTGATTCTCTTGCCTCAGCCTCCCAAGTAGCTGAGACTACAGGTATTTGCCACAACGTCTGGCTATTTTTTGTTACAGTTTGGCCGGGGCCAGGTTTGAACCCACCACCCTCAGTATATGGGGCCAGCGCCCTACTCACTGAGCCACAGGCACCGCCCTAGTCTATCATCTTTTGAAAAGCTTCACTTCATGTCTTTAACTACTTTTTTATGGAGTTGTTGGTTTTTCTCACTGATTTTCTTGAGTTCTTTGTAGATTCTGGTTATCAGCCATTCATCAGTATACAGGATGCAAATATTTACTCCCATTCTATAGGCTGTCTGTTCGCTCTATTGTTTCCTTGGCTGTGCACAAGTTTTTTAATATAATCGTGTCCCACGATTGTTTTTTCCTTTTGTTCTATTTTGTTTTTTTCAGACAAGAGTCTTACTCTGTTGTGCTGGGTAGAGTGCTGTGGTGTCATAGCTCACAGCAACCTCAAACTCCTGGGCTCAAGTGATCCTTTTGCCTCAGCCTCTAGATTAGCTGGGACCACAGGCACCCACGACCACACCCCGCTATGTTTAGAGCTAGGTTCTCACTCTTGCTCAGGCTGGTCCAGGTCCCATTTGTTAATTGTCATTGTTATTATGATTGCCTTTGAGGTTTTCTTCATAAATTCTTTGCCTAGGCCAATGCCTAGAAGAGTTTTTCCAGTATTTTTTTCTAGAATTCTAATAGTTTCTTGCCTTAAGCCTGTTATCCACTGTGAATTAAGTTCTATGAGTGGTAAGAGGTACAAACCTTGTTTCAATCTTCTACACGGGGCTATCCATTTTTCCTAGCACCATTTACTGGATTTTACTCTTTATATGAATACATATTTGAATGTTACCAATGTATATAAGTATCCTGTTTTCTTACATAGCAACAACAACAAAAAACTTGTCAAACTAACTCAGAATTAACCCCTTCAAAATAAAATAAAACAGGCTTGACACCTGTAGCTCAGTGAGTAGGGCACCGGCCACATACACCAAGGTTGGCATTGGCGGGTTCAAGCCCGGTGTAGGCCTACTAGACAACAATGACAATTGCAACCAAAAAATAGCTGGGTGTTGTGGTAGGTGCCTGTAGTCCCAGCTACTTGGGAGGCTGAGACAAGAGAATCACTTGAGCCCAAGATTTAAGGCTGCTGTGAGCTGTGATGCCACAGCACTCTACTGAGGGCGACATAGTGAGACTATTAAAAAAATAAATAAATAAATAATAAAACAAAACAAAAACAAATACATATAAAATGTAAGAAAGAAGACAATAAAGATAATAGACTTTTCCTGGCTTTTACTTCATTTGTCTAAAACTAAGCATGTGGACATTTTATGTACAGTTTATGTAGTAACTACATTTAAAAACCTAAATCGGCTCGGCGCCTGTGGCTCAACCAGCTAAGGCGCCAGCCACGTACACCTGAGGTGGCGGGTTCGAATCCCCAGCCTGGACCCGCCAAACAACAATGACGGCTGCAACCAAAAAATAGCC